GTTTTTTCATGATTAAAAAAAATTTATTGATTTACCTCCAACCCTTTAATGGGAAATTTACAATTGGGTATTTTTATAAATATCTATTAAAAAAAATATATTGATTTACCTCCAACCCTTTAATGGGAAATTTACAATTATTATAATGGAAAAACATTCTGCTTCACATTATAAAAATATATGACAATTTGGTTTCTTGATAATGTGTTTTTGTTGTTTCCAGGCTCACGTTCTTATCTGTGGCTGCCCTTTCTTCCACTGATTGTAAGCACCAATTATCACCATTTCTTCAAATTCCAAGGTCCCACCAAGACAAGATGGATATTTTTATGATTAAAATATCTAATCATTCATAAAAATATGGCTTGTGCAGATGATCTTATTAGTAGGGACAAAGCTTCAAGTTATCATAACCAAGATGGGCCTCAAGTTGAAAGAAAGGGGAGAAGTTGTTAAGGGCACCCCATTGGTTGAGCCTGGTGACCATCTCTTCTGGTTCAACAACCCACGCCTCATTCTCCATCTCATCCACTTTGTTCTCTTTCAGGTTCAATTCTTCCCACTTGGGTTCACTTTATATATCTACTGCATGTTTTTTTACCTCATAATTTTGCTAACTCTCTTCTGTTTTCTTTCTTTTTTACCTCACAGAATGCATTTCAACTTGCTTTCTTTGCATGGACTTGGGCAAGTAAACTTAAACCCATATTAGTTTCATCATGGTTTGCTTCATCCAGAGAAAAGCTTACAATTGATTTCATCTTTGTTCTTTTTACAGTATGAATTTGGCTTGAAGTCTTGCTTCCATGATAAGTTGGAAGATGTCATTTTGAGAGTATCAATGGGGTGAGTTTCTCATTACTTGTAACTTGCAGAGAAACCAATTTATTATGTGAATTTAACTTACCAAAGTCCATTGATTCATGTTATTGGTGTAGGGTCATTATACAAATACTATGCAGCTATGTAACTCTTCCTCTTTATGCCTTGGTAACACAGGTAAAAATGGTGCCAATTATGCAAAATTAGATGCTAAAAACTAAGAAATATGAATTGAGTTCTAACTATACATGCTGTGCACAAACAGATGGGTTCAACTATGAAGCCTACCATCTTTAACGACAGAGTGGCAAATGCTATCAAAAAATGGCACCTCTCGGCGAAGAAGCACTTAAAACACAACAAGAATAGTCCAACCAGTGTACCAGGCACTCCCTTGCATTCCATGTCCCCTGTCCATCTGCTGCGACACTATCAATCCGAACACGACGTTGACAGTGTGCACACATTGCCGAGAATGTCTTATTGTGATGCCGATGGTCCAAACTCCTCTCCATCTCATCACCAAGATGATCTATCTTGGTCTAACCAAGGTAGAAGCCATGGCCAGGAGGAAGAGATTAGTGCTCATAAATCTAACGCAGTGAACAATCCGATAGCTGGTTATGGTTCTCAGAGTCAACATGAAATTCAAATTAATTCAGCAGAATTCACATTTGAGAAATCAGAAAGGAGTTGAGTTAAAAAGTAAATGATAGGCGGCATGCAACACTACAATGAACACTAAAGCTCGATGAGCTTTCCAATGAGGTCACTGTAAATGAAGACACTCTGCTAGATAAGCATTAGTTGTACAATTGTAACTCAAAGTTGATATTTTTGAAAATAAACCATCTGCATAATCAATTTCCCAATTTAAGAACTTCATATCCCAATATGCAAGCACCATTGAAGAACACGGCGCGAATGCACCAAAAAAACTACCACAAAGCAAGAACGCATCAACAGGAACGCAGCAAATCACCACAAAGATGGAATGACGGAATCTTAAATTCAACATTAGGCCTAAAAAGAGTAATCATCTACTGTAACCAAGTTAATCTACTGTTTTATGCATCATCAAGAACACGTAATTTTGATCATCAAGGTTGGGAACAGAGCCCCTTTCTCACAATGTCAAAAACATTGAAGTTAAGTATTGAATTCACTGGTTCAACCCAGTCAACAGATATCAGCATTTGTGCTTAAGCTAGAAAAAGAATGTCAGAGAGTAAAGTTTGCTCAACCACACTCCTTTTTCATGTTTGGCATAAATTCTTCTAACAAGAACAGAAATCAAGCTAAGAGAATTGAAAGAAATCCAAGTGACAACAGCCAATTCGGATTCTTGAGAGGGCACATATTTAAGCCACAACAGACGTGCTGAAATATCAATCATAGATCATTACAAAAACAAAAACAAACAAAAAACTAAGCTTGGAGGGCAAACCACGACAACAGATGGACCTCTGAGTCGCCAAATCTTAATATATATTATACCATTTGAAGCAAAGTCTATCTGTTTTATATTAGCTGGCTTTCTTCAAGACAAGAAGATCAACAATGTTCATGAGCAATTCAACACAACCAATAAATTCATGAGAGTGCATGCCTCACCAGTTCAAGGTTCTCCAAGTAGAACACTTTTAAGACCAAACTGAAAGAAGGCAAAAATAAAGAGAGAGAGGAAACTTTGCATCACTGAACAGAAACCAGTGCATAAAACACAATTGAACAGAAACCAGGAAGGCTCAGAGAGAAATTTTACGTAACTGAAAGACTTCCAGCAACAACAGTTATTAACGAAACTCACTAATCCAGCATGCTTTAGCAAAACTAGGGGTACCTGTTGCACATATCCTAATTCACACATAACCAATAACTTCAAGATTATACCAGAAAAGTCTCTCTTATCGGATAAGAAAACAAGTTGATTGCTTCCCCAGATCAAGGTTCTCCAAGCCAAAACCCATCCAAACAGCAGTTGAAGAGGAAGAAATCCAGCATGCTTTAGCAAAACTAGGGGTACCTGTTGCACATATCCTAATTCACACATAACCAATAACTTCAAGACTATACCAGAAAAGTCTCTCTTATTGGATAAGAAAACAAGTTGATTGCTTCCCCAGATCAAGGTTCTCCAAGCCAAAACCCATCCAAACAGCAGTTGAAGAGGAAGAAATTTTCATCCGCAACCACAATGCAATTGAAAATGTTCGAGGCTGTGAACAGAGACCCTAAAATTTCACAGTATAAATATCATGGACATATTAAATTGACATGCTTTGCTAGGCTTCTAATTGGAGCAGAGTTTGAAAATCTGAAAGAATCAACTGAAATCTAAGTGACAGCAGAAGCCACAAGCAATTTGGCTTCTTGAGTGCGGAAAGTTAGTCAAAACTAAGAATACAAACCACCCACCATGTCCAACATTACTGAAATTCAACTATACAATTACAGAAGACATTCAAGGCCAATAATGGAATACAAGCACACAGCTAGAAAAAGAAATAACATTTGAAAGCTTTAGTATTTAGAAACTAGACTATCCTGTCAAATATTGAGGTGCATACAAACAGGGGGCCTGCCGGGCACAACGTGGCCTACAGTCCAACAAATCCTGCCCGTACACACAGACGCCACACCAAATTTGTCATCTAACGGATAATTAATGAACTGTTTGCAGCATGATGCATTACTAATAACAGAAAACGCAATGCATTTTAATTCTATAGCTATGTTAGATAGGTATGCTAATTCAATCTCATGAAAACTTAAGGACAGTTTAACCTGAATTCTCCAACTAGAAAATCTAAATAAAGCCCATCAACTGAATGAAACCTCTTCGTTTTTACAGGCATGTGCCCTACATGAGCTAACTAAGAAGGTATTTCATGATTTTGAAAACCTATCCTGAGAACTTTGAATTAGAATTCTCAGAGATGAGACAAAGAAGTGGTAAGAGGGCGTAAGGAGAAGCTGGGAGGTCAGCTTCTAGCACATATCCTAAAATCGCTACAAACATGAAATCCCCTAGCATGAAGGTAGCTGAATCGTCTAAAGCTATTCCATGCTCACTTAGTGGTTCATCAAATATCAGAAGATTTCAAGTAACGACTGTGTGCTCTGGCACTATTGATGCAAGAGAGCAGAGTGCTTTCTGGTAAGAAGTAAAAGATATGTTACGTTTTATGGCAATTTTGTAATCTGAAGTCATCAAAAGTTCAAACTTCCAGCACACTGAGTTATATTAATGAAAAATGGTTTATGACCTAGATTTATGTTTACTTTCAATTTTGCGTTTTCCATGATACACAATCTGAATTCAAATTTATCATGAAATCTAGATATGTCCTATCTATTTTCAGAGTCAGAATTTGGAACTTTGTGTTTGTCAATAATAGGTACTCACGATGGTAGAAAATCTAGATCATTTGAAGCAGATCCACGCTGTACAGACCTTGGACATCTTACCTCAATGAGAGTGACTCAACTGGGTTGACACTATCTAGTAATTTGAAACAAGTTGAGCATGTAAGTCTTCTTTTCTTGTGTTTTTTATCTACACATACATCTCGTTGGTCCTCGATAACTTAATGCCAAATTTCCTGCAAGGCTAAGAAAACTAATGTCGTTTTTCATTTATGTTTCATTGATTGATGTCACACCATGAGAACAGTCAATTTTCTGTGTAGGTGAATCAGAAGGATATTGGTTACACAGAAAGCTTGATGTTGTTTGTTAAAGAGGACCAACAGCTCAGAAGATTGCCAGAAAGAAGTTAACTCTACCCAATGGGCACCTAGTACTCTGAGTGATATATTTGCTTCACAATCTCAACACTTCCAGGACAACCTTCATGGGCAATGGGCATCCTTCTATCATGAAGAGCACTGGTCACAATTTGCATTCATGGGATGCGGACAAAAGAGAAAAGGGATCTTTAGCTGATGGACCAATGACTCATAAAACTATCTCACCATGAGAGGCAATGTCAGTTGTTTTATATGATCTGGTTTTCTTCAAGATAAGAAAATCAGCAATGCTCATGAGCAAATCACACACAACCATAATAGGAACATAAATATGGTGAATGCTTCACCGGTTCAAGCAGAACACATCCAAAAACATTGAAAGAAGGCAGATATTAAAGAACAAGAAGCAAATTTGCATCCACAAAAGGAGTTGAATACGGAATGTACGGAACTAAAATTACTTTACTAATACGAAACTGAGTTTAAACAATCGGAAAATATAGGAACCCATCCACAAACCCAAAAACATTACATACTAAATTGGCCCTCCGGCCAGTCAACACAACACACCACCAGAATCATCACCACCATCACTAGAGAAAACCAACAAACTAACTCAAACCAACGAACTAACTCAGAAATCACCACCACGCAGACGAAGGACAAGATGGAGAGTGGACTCGTTCTGGATATTATAATCTGCAAGGGTACGACCATCCTCAAGCTGTTTCCCGGCAAAGATCAACCTCTGCTGGTCCGGTGGGATCCCCTCCTTGTCTTGAATCTTAGCTTTGACATTGTCAATAGTGTCAGAGCTCTCAACCTCCAGAGTAATGGTCTTCCCAGTCAGGGTCTTCACAAAAATCTGCATGCCACCACGAAGCCTGAGCACCAGATGAAGAGTCGACTCTTTCTGGATGTTGTAATCCGCCAGAGTCCTTCCATCCTCCAATTGCTTCCCAGCAAAGATCAGCCTCTGCTGATCTGGAGGAATCCCTTCCTTGTCCTGAATCTTCGCCTTCACATTGTCAATCGTATCAGAGCTCTCGACCTCCAAAGTTATCGTCTTCCCTGTAAGGGTCTTCACGAAAATCTGCATACCACCTCTCAGACGCAGAACCAAGTGCAAAGTTGACTCCTTTTGGATGTTGTAATCCGCAAGGGTCCTACCGTCCTCTAATTGCTTACCGGCGAAGATAAGCCTCTGCTGATCTGGGGGGATACCCTCCTTGTCTTGGATCTTGGCCTTCACGTTATCAATGGTATCGGAGCTCTCGACCTCCAGAGTAATTGTTTTCCCGGTTAGGGTTTTGACGAAAATCTGCATACCACCTCTCAATCGAAGAACTAAGTGCAAAGTTGATTCCTTTTGGATGTTGTAGTCGGCGAGGGTTCGGCCGTCCTCCAATTGCTTTCCTGCGAAAATCAACCTCTGCTGGTCTGGGGGGATGCCCTCCTTATCTTGGATCTTGGCCTTCACGTTGTCGATGGTATCAGAGCTCTCGACTTCTAGGGTTATTGTCTTCCCGGTTAGGGTTTTGACGAAGATTTGCATACCGCCTCTCAATCGGAGAACCAAGTGCAAAGTCGATTCCTTTTGGATATTGTAGTCGGCAAGGGTGCGGCCGTCCTCCAATTGCTTGCCGGCGAAGATCAACCTCTGCTGGTCTGGGGGGATGCCCTCCTTGTCTTGGATTTTGGCCTTTACGTTGTCGATCGTATCAGAGCTCTCGACTTCTAAGGTTATGGTCTTCCCGGTTAGGGTTTTGACGAAGATCTGCATACCACCCCTCAATCGCAGAACCAAGTGAAGAGTCGATTCCTTCTGGATGTTGTAGTCGGCTAGGGTTCTGCCGTCCTCCAATTGCTTGCCGGCGAAGATGAGCCTCTGCTGATCGGGGGGAATTCCCTCCTTGTCTTGGATCTTGGCCTTGACATTGTCGATGGTATCGGAGCTCTCGACCTCGAGAGTGATTGTCTTGCCGGTTAGGGTTTTGACGAAGACCTGCATATTGTCAATCTCAGAAGAAAAAAAAAATGGAAAAGGAAATTGGAAGAGAGAATTTCAGGAGCGATTTAAAAAGGCTTTGAGAGAATTGTGTGGAGAAGATGAAGAGGGGAGGTGGTTTATATACGGAAGATCAGCCGACTATAAAATCCTAAATTTTGTCTCCGACTCCGAAAGGGATTCCAACCAGACTCGAGTCGGTAGAAAAGAAAAGCCTAGAAATTTTCTTGGAAGATGGAAAGTGACTTACTTTTATTATGGATTCCTTAGGATAGAAGGAATAATTGTTCGGTGTACGTGGATGTTAATTAATTAAAATTAAAAAATGATTTTTTTAAAGTAATAAAAAATAAATAAATAATTCTGGGTAATTTTGGGTGCGGGCCGATGGGGTGGGTCGCGGGTGGGGAAGATGGTGGTTGCTTTTGGTTCTGTGGGGGTTGGGTCGGGCGGGTTCTATTGGGGATTCAATGGTAAAAAAACTTATTTGTAACGGGAATAACATTATTTTGGTGATAGTTAATAACACAATGACAAGTACGTGTCATTGCGTTATTGACTGAAAATAACAAAAAGTCATATAGGAAAGTTTCTCTTGTTGAGAGAGAGATTCAATGATTCTTCCATTTTTTTTTGGCTAAATCGGCTGACCATTTAGTTGGATGGGTTTGTGGGATAAAACGACACTTTACGATTTGTCATTTCATAAACTAGAACAGTTGACTATTGAATTGTTGTTAAGAGTCGTGCCGTTTTCACTATAATGCCAATTTGATCAAATTTATTGTTGTTCCAACCAGGTAGAGATGAGAAAAGATTTTAAAAGCCAATAACAAAAATCAGAAGTTTCTCTTTCCCCTTCTTTCATTTACTTGTACAGCTGGAAAACCTACGAGAAATCCAAAGAAAATTATGTTTTCTCCTTTACATCATGAACTAGCTTCTCAGTTTCCAAAGAAAGAAGGTGCGGAAGCTTGGAATCATGAATAAATAAAATTTTCTTTGCACTAAAGCCCCATGAAAATATCAAGGGTTTAAAAAAGGCTTCACAATATTTAAATGGAAGCCTGAAATGAAACAAATGGATTGAAATTGGCTAGCATTCCCTTTACAATACACAAAACAAGTCTGCTTCCTCTATTTTGAGGATTATCTCTAAATATATATACAAGAATGCCAATGTAATGAAGCGCAAGCGATGCGATTAAATTATTTCTCCTTCATATTATCAGGGAGAGCACAACCTTTGCAGATTGGACAAGAGTTTTTCATTGACAGCCATTTCTTGATGCAGCTCACATGGTAATCATGGCCGCAAGTTTTCAATGCCCCGACATCATCCCTGTCCTTGTACTCTTCCTGTCAATTAGGAACAGTGCTAGTTAGATATTCAACAGTTAAGCAATTTACATTCCAATTGGTCTAAAATGCCACACTAGCTGAAACTGGAATTTCAATTTCATGATTTTCTGTTTCAACTGGAAGATACTTACCAGGCAGATCACACATGTGCCTTCCTCCTGGATTTGATCTGACGAACAATATATCGTTTCTGTCAAACACTTTGGTATCAAATCTTCAGACACGCCTGTGCTGACATTCCCAATCCTTTCACCTAGCGCTAGGAGTTCCTGTTTGTTCCAAACATTTCAAGAAATTCAGATACCTTAAAAGTCATAGGAAGAAAAATAATAATTTAGGCAGGAATATCAATGTTACCTCGTAACTCATGTTGTCTATGTCCAGCCTCATGTCTCTATGATGATCAAACATATTTCTGGACCCATACAAGGCTGGGCGATCCACAATCATAAAACCCTGCAAAACAAAATGAAAAACAATTTATTTCCGATATTCAGGACTGAACAAGGTTTGTGCTATACTTAAGCATGATGAAGTGTTTTCGAAATTATCACAAGGGAGCTGCACCCTTCTGGGATAGACAAGATAAGCAAACAAGCATCAGAAAGGAGTACATACCTCAGACGAAAACCGATCCTGGAGACCAGTCTCTTCAGAAACCCGAAATCTATCATTAGACATCCTCGACCTACCACTCCTATCACTGTTACGCCACCCAACTGTGGCCACTGGCCTAGGATGTCTAGGATAACTTTCAGACGCCAACTGCAATCCTTCTTCTGAATGTGGTGCATGTCCCACTCGCACGTTGCTTGAAGAAGCCCTGAAGGTTGGGGCAGATCTTTGAGAATAGCTGCTACGAACTCCCCTTACAGATTGTGGTAAGACACCAGGATAACTTTGAGGAACAGCAGTGGCTCTGCTTGACATGAAATCATGATGGTATAACCCCGTTTCCACAGAAGCATTACCCACACTGCTTCCTACAAGGAAGTGGTTGGGATCATGACTGAAACCACTTGCATCTGCAATTTAAAAGCAATTTAATCAGTAACAAATAACAGGAACCTGGACAGAAGACATGGAATTAATCAAAATTTACCTGGAGTTATAATCCTTCCATGAGAAGGAGACACGTTAATATGATTCCACTCATGGGTCAAACCAATAGAACCCTGGCCAGAAAGATCCATCGTACTAGAATGGTCAATAGGGGGGAGATTTGTAGAATAGGAACTATGTAAAGGATTGCTCGACAAATGTGTCCTAGCTAAGTTGGACTCCAAATCATGTTCAGACCGGCTTCTCACATTTCTCATGGATCCCTCACCCCTAATTGAGAGTCCATTCCCTCTATAACTGGGCATCATAGACATGTGATCCCAAGGCATGTATGGGGTATCCATGTTTACTTTCTCCTGCTGTAATTCTGAAGATCTAGGGAGCTCAGAGGAACTACTTCCAGCACTATAGTATCTGCTTGTGCTGCCTCTCTCAGATACTGAAGGGATCCCTGGGCTTTTTCGCTTGTGAGGCCCTCTTCCATTGCTCATTGTGAGATCGACAAAACCACCCTCAACACCATGGAATGCCCTCCGGTCATAGCTGGAAGAGGGTGCATGGTGAGCATAATTTCCACCGACCGTACCAAAGGTGCCAGCACCCAATGGATGCTGAAAAGGATCATGAGATGGACCAGAAGCATCAGGTTGATAATGTGGCACATCAACATTGTGGTTCAAGTTAGAATACCCATATGACCTCAGAGCCGGATTCCAATTTGATGCAAAAGGCATCCCATCTATAAACATATTTTCTACAGGATATAAGAAAGAACCATTCTCTCCAGAGCCAGCCCTGGCTGCTGTCCATAATTAGAATTAATTAGTCATGAAAACAAAAGATATTCAGCAGATCAGATATTCAAGATTGAAATTCATAAGTAAATGATGAAATTTTGCAAATTATAGACCAGAAGAAAGGAAATGAAAAGAATATACTCAAGGAATATCAAGACACAGTACCCAAATGCCCAAAAGGTTGCTCCGTATTCATATGATTCCAATTCTGATCATTTTCACCCTCAAAAACATGAGATGTGCTGAACTGATGTCTATGCCCCATAACTTTCGTCACCTTACAGCTACGAACAAGTTATGAGCTGGAACAGAATCTACCAAACAAACCCACAACCTGCACAAAACAGGGAAGGGATCTCAAAACATTGATTAATATTGTATTTTACTTCTACAGAAGCCTAGGGCCTCCATGTGTTTTTGCCATTAACCATAAAATCTCGATAAGTAGCCCATTACAGAAAAATTTATATAAATACTGCAAGGTAATAATTAATTTTTGTTTTTTAAACAAACAAAGGAGAATTCTTGTGCAATTCAGAGTGTGGATGGGAGAAAGAAAGTAGCAACCTTGTTACAATTCTAATTGAAAAAATTCTTCAACAGACTTCAGAAGATAAGAGAAGACCCCTCAAACCAAAACCAGACAAGTTTCAAAGAAATTAAAACTAGTCATCAAGTTCCAACAATGGAAAAATGCAACCAACACAAATATAAATGCAAGATGACAATTAACTTCCAGAGATGGCAAGGCAAAATGCATTTTAAGGAAGATTAACCCACCAAGTTCCTGCTTCACATACCAATTTAAATTTTCAAAATAGTTTGACTAAGTATGAAGTACATGCCACAACATCAACAAATAGATAGTTGACCAAGAGAGCCGTGCCTATAAATGTGCTTTCACACTTTGATCCACCAATCTCCATTCTAATCAAGGCCAAAAATTGAAGTAAAAGTCATGTTGTTCTGTTTAAAAAAATATAGTGCTCCAGAGGACCATTCAAAGCCTAATTGCACACCCACTAGCACCCTATGTCATTGTCAACCAACTCCCTTGTCACTCGCTTTCATCTCCAATAAGATGGCATTTCCAATGAAAATAGAGGGAGCCATTTTATTCTGAGGGATAAAACAGAATGGAAAGTGTAAAGACATAACAATTAGCTGAAAGTGAGGAGTGAAAAAGATGGAAACAGGACCTTCCTTGAAGACATTACCTGGGTTTGGACTTTGAATCACAGGATTAGAGATCACCTAGCAGGTGTAAAAGATGTAACAATCTCAATAACACACCATATCAATTTGCACTAGCATTTTCTTGAATTCAAATATCAGCTACAGAATCATAAATAGATAAACTAAGACCAGAAAACCCACTACCAGATCCCCCCTAGCTTCCAAGTTCTGAAAACTCACAGTTCTAAATACTTTCAGCTCTAAAATATTTATGAAGGCTCATATTCTACATCAAGGTCAAAAGTTCAAGGTGGTTGGAAATGTTCCAAATGAAAGCTGAAGATATTTATGAATGAAAGATAAAATTAGTCCATAGATGTGAAAAATGCAAGATAAATAGATAAATAAATAAATGGATGAGAACCTTCAGAGACAGTATACGCAAATTATGAGTTTCAACCCCTCTTTACCCAAAATTATCAGATGAACAATGGATGACTTGCCGTTCACATACAAGAAAAGATTGCTCTCTCCAAACCTAAGGAGGGGCAAGTTGAAGATCAGAGGCAGTGTATTCAATGGCTGAAATGAGACAGAAAAGTACCAGACACTCCTCAAGTGTTGTGGTGAGACTATTAAGAAATAGATCTGAAATAAATTAAAATGTATTACCAAGGAAAAAGAGCACTAATATAATGAAATGTGTGCCATTTGGCTGAAAAATGTTCATGGGGAGCAACGAGTGGAACATAGAACAAAAAATCCTTTGATAATCACTGCATAGATGAACTGTACACCATGCAGCACATATAAAACTTGGATGTCACGGGCAATTCTAGGATAGGCATAAACATGACTCAAAGAAAAATACGAAAATTCATGAGAAGAACAAGTATATAACTCAATACTTGTCATGCATGAAGCTGCAAAAGTCAAAACGATTATGGATACAATGGAGTAACATGGTATTTTATTCCGACAGTATGATAATATTGAAATGAAGACAACGTAAAAAAAAAAAAATTAACTATCGTACAAAAAATGTGTTGCTTCTGTTAAAAGAAGAAACAAATAGAAGTAATCAACCCTAGAACAAAAAGAGAGAGAAGGCGCAGTTATGTTTAAAAAACCCAACAAAATAAATCTGTGATATTATTAAGAGAATATATAAATAGTCAAATAGAAAAGATAATCTGGTAATTGCACATAGATCCATAATAATAATAAAAACATTGCTTACATTTTATTGCTGCCCTACAATACCTTTCTATCATGTAAAACCAAGTTGAGGTTAAGTCACTGATTACAAAAAGTAAGACTTAGATACAGATTCTGAAAACTGTAAACCCACAAGATCAGGTTAATATAGCCAAAAAAATATACATGTTGCTTAAACCTGGAGACTTCTAAATCTACAACAAGTTTCTACACTTACAAATCCCTCGCTCAATATGAAGAGAATCTTCCTCTGAAGACTTAAATGGTGTTGTCTTCTTACACATCTTGAGAAAGTTTGCAATTGAAGCTATAGAGTACAAATAAAGGGGTATACTTGCACCCTATAAGAAGGGGTATACTTGCACCCTATAAGATGAGATTGGAGGGCTCAGAAGAAAGAAGCACGATATTAGTATTGTTAAGATTCTCTCCAGTGAGACTTGTCAGCAAGAAGATGTCCTAAAAAAAGAAACCAGGATATTCTCAAAAATCTGAAATCTGGAAACTTTTCTTCGTGTGAAAGCACAGAAAAGACCGTACAACAAGTAGAGGGTGCCATCAAACCTGATAACCTACAGAGCTATGCCAATTTGAAGAAACCAAACAATGAGTAAGCAGCCCACTGCCTAATATCCAGGCAATGGAAACACCAAACTTTTCCCTCCACCCTGGTAGCCTACACCAATCTTAGGGAACCAAGCTCTGTGTTTCAGTGATTCAAACATCAGCACCTGATTGCCCTCTACTTACGGGCAATCAACCACCACAAGGCTAATGATAAGAGGCACTAGATCCAAATCTCCACTTGTTAATTAAGCATCGCCCGTCAAATATTGCAAACCAAACTACATGGTTCAGTCCCATCACCTAAGCACAAGATTCTCCAGAGATGGCATGTGTCAATGTATCAAAAGCTGGTCACCATGATCACTTTTCATTGACAACACCTAAGCACACAATCATCAGTATATCCATCAGCTCACCGCTCTATATAACACGAACATACAGCAACATCACAGAACTCCAAATACTAGGGCAATGAGAAGAATGAATTGACCACCAAAACATTTACGAAGTCAATGGAATTGCCCATGGCATTATAACTTAGCCAGCCTCTCCGTCACCTTAGTATGTACAATGTAAACACAAAAGCGAACATACTCGTGCTCAGTTCAAATCAACAACCTCACTAGACTGCATTGAACTCTGACATTTTCCATCACTAAACAAAGGGTCGAGAATGATCAATCTAAACATCATGACACTATCACCATCAAGGCAACCTTTTTTTCCATCTCAAATATGGCCTCCACTACCTCAGGTGGATGGACCCAGTTCTTAATGTAAATTCCAATTCAATACTACCTGAGCAAGTTAAAAATGGAGTCTTTAGTGGTTAGTACCATAGAAAGTAGCTCTCAGAATACTACAGCTGACTAGGACTCTCAGAAAATGGCGGAAGATCGTGCCAATAAATCTTGAAGATAAGACATGGCTTCAATTGATATCCATTTTTTCAGAAGTCCAATTGACCAAAAAGTCCCTGCAACACCATTCATAATTCAGAGCATGAAATGAACTACCCCCCAACCTTTATACCCTAACAAGTACTAGGGGCAAAAAGTATTTAACAAAATAACCTGCAACTTTGCAAACAAAACTAACGTAAGCCATAAAAGCTAATATTTCAAAAATATTTAGGAATAATAAGACATGACCTCAGAAATATGAAGGAAACACGACCACTACACTGAGCTACAGCTAAAGTCCAACTGTATAATTTTCTAAGTTTACTTCAGAAAGGTATGGCTCCAAGAAATTCTCACCTGTAGGTGCAGTCATATCATCATTCCAGAACTCGGGTACTAAATATTGTTCATCTCGAGTTCGAACTCAATACAAGTACGCAATACTGATACACCGTCAGCAGACCAAAACCTGCATAATAAGAACCATCTAAACCTACTCGATGCTAAGGTAATCCAGACTGAACACTGCATTATCTAAAAGACCCTCGTCCACCAAGCAAACCTTGGTCAAAATATAAACCCCAAAGCATGAAAGTCATTTGCTGTGAAACAGTATTAGAGGCCTTGATGGTAATAGTTATTAAGCAAAACTATTTCCACTCAATCTCTAATTAGCAGGAGAACAAATTATTTTATGACAACAATCAATCATCATGACCATGATCAAATTACAAGCCCCAGCTCATTATACACATGTTACCGCCAAGTACAATAGTATTGATCGAACAAACATATTTACACAACCCACCAATCCACATTACCACAAAGGAAAAATTACGGAAAAATCAGACAACGTTAACACAGGGAAGGCAGAAAAATAAATAAGAAAATCATCCAAATTTTATGCACCAGCATCAAACAACAAACAAACCTCAACGATCAGAGGCCAGATGATCAGAAACAACAAAAGACTACCGAAAATGATGATCAGAAACAAGGAACATGAATTGATCGAGAAAATGAAGATCGGACCTCAAAATCAAAAAAAGTCAAAAAACATGTGACGAAAATAATAAAAAAAAATTGTGCAGAAACAATAGAAACCGCGATCAAGCTTGGAAAACTGAAAGTATGGTAACAAAAAATGGAAGAGAACGCATACCTTGAAGTCGATGAAGGGCTGGTTCTGCGAAAAGGAACAAACTTTGAGGGAGAGAGAGAGATAATTGTGCTCTTGAGGAAGCACGAAGAGAGATGAATAAAGCGGTTGGGTGCGTTGTTCGCAGAAATAAGAGGACGAGAAATTGTCTGGACTGCTCAATGTTACCGGATACCGACATAACCTATTTCTTTTTTTTCTTTTTGTTTTACTTTATTATTAAAATAAGGTTAAATAAAATAAATAAAAATTAGAGGGCGTACGTAACACGACGTCGTAATGAGACAAGCGACGGTGAATTGTGAGGTGCGTTTCGCGGGAGATAAGAATCATTTGTCATTGTTAATTAACTAATAATAAAATAATAGTTTTTAAAAAATAAAAATTAGAGTAGGGTTCTTTTATCCAACTAGTTATAATCTTCCACTCCCAAGCAAGTGCGAGTCGTGGGTGCTGTCTTTCTTTGAGTTTGAGGTCACCAAATGCGTGTACCATGAGCATGCCATTGTACATACGTTTCTTTTTTTTT